TATCTACATTTCTCAATAGAGTCTGTTTTTCTCATCAGCTAGATTGTTTTATGTATATTTTTTATAAAAAGATACATTTTATACACGGATTTGTTTATTCATATTGCTAAAATTAAATCAAAAATATATATATACGTATATGTATATCCGTCTTTCTATCTTTCCATCATAGTAGTATATTCCAATCTATTTATATAAATTTTCCAGTGGTTTCAATTCGATTGGTGGAGACTTGGTCAATAACGACCGTAAAGTTCCCACAAAAAGAAGATGTGGAAGAAACAAGTTGGGCTCTGATCCAAGACATCATAGTACTCTCAGCCCCAGCATTAGTCGGAAGTGGAAGAAACGGTAATTTCATGACAGTAGCGTATATCTAGTAGCCACCCGCCAAATCTCGCTTTTCGCTTTTTATTTCCGAAATCGTTTTATCTACTTTCTTCGGCTCTCTTCGGAACTTTTACCAGAAAAAACGACATATATTTCTGACGTTATCAAATTTATTCTGAAAGGAGTATCAATGAAATGTTTAAAGAATTGTTTAGCTTAATAAAAATGCAAAGGTCAAACGAATTTGCAGGTTTTATAATATAAAAACTCAAATCTTTTAATGATTTTGGGATTTGGGTAGACATGATTTAGTGAATATACAAACCTAGCTGGTTAAGCTGTGCATGAAAAGAAATCAACCAAATATTTGCGAAAAATACAATGCTTACAACGAAACAGCTATTTTCTTGCCTAACTATATATTTGTAGGACTTCACTGTCTTTTGCTTCATACAGAAATTGAATGTACGTTATATCAAAACTATTTTGTAGTGTCACTGTGGCCACGTCCAGTTATGCTCTATTCGATGACCGTGCATTTTGAGAATAACCCTGAAGTGTAATTTTCATTTCAAATTGCTCTGTCGTTTATCTGTTATATTTTCAAAGCTCATCCCTCCATGTGTTTTTCCACATTCCTATTGCTGCTTCAAAAGTACAATCATATATAAATCCAGAGGAGCTGGGTCTGGCAACTTTACCGTATGTCTTCATATGAAATAGCATGAATATCAGTTTTATTCTCCAGTTGCCTGATATATGCGATTGTTGAATTAATATGCCATAGAAGCAGTTTGTGTAAACGTAGCTTTGTTACGCTTTCTCAGACAGAGACCCTTCCTTGATTATTGTGCATACTTTTGCATAGGTCACGTGGAAGGATGACTTTTGCCACTGACCTTTGTCGTGAATACTCAGCTGTTACAAATCGTTGCATTTACTTATCACGTCTGGAGGTATGACTTGTTGCAGCTTGTTTATGGATGGTTCAGATGCCCCACATTGATCCATATTCCATTGCTTTCCAATATTACTAATTACAATGAATAACCCTATCTTGAAGGTTCTAATTCTGGGATCTAAACACATCTTTATGATCTAATAGTATGAATATAATTTGTCGGAAAGGGCTGTTACCTACTCTTTTAACGAATGATCAATTTTCAGTGACATCAACGTATGCCAAACAATGCCAACATGTAGCTCTGTGATAAACGTCGTTCCGCCATATTTTTATATAGGCCATGGTTGTCACGTGACGCTGATTTGCATATTTAAAATAGTTTAATATAACGTATTCAACCCTCTGTATATATACATGTAATTACTGTCTATCAGTCTGTATTATGCCTGTATGTTTTCGGTTGATGTACAATATATATATTCCATTACGTTTGTAGGATTCGTAAAGATTATTTTCGTGGCCTACAAGAATGTTCAAGATTTTCTTACTCTCGGGGAAATCCACCCTGTTTCCACCAACACCGATGACTCCCAGAATTCCATGGCAGTCAATACGACACAAATAATCAATTCACATGTCTTAAGTGCATCTATTGACCGGTACCGAATGGTACAACTTCATCAGCCTGTGACTGTTATACTGAAGCATTTACAAGTAATGTTTTACTTTATTTGTATTTGAAAAATACACATCTTTCATAATTTCTATAACTCAAGTGTTTTGAATGTGTATTAGTGAAAAATTTGGTAAATATTTTCATGAAACAGATTAGATTATAAACCTTTTCGTCCCATTAGTTTAATTTGAGATTTTTAAAGTTCACTACTAGTTTAGTTTAATCCTATTGCAATCTCATTCAGCACCTTGGGAGATTATTTAGCATGACTGGGCACTTTCAAACTTTATTCAAAATATTAGAATATTGTATGTGTAGTTTACATGTAATAAAGGCGGGCTTACATTCCTATGTTCAGCTGCAATCAGAACTCTTCAGTTGGCTTATTATTTTATATTTCATATTACTGTATATTTAGTCTAGAAGGTTGTTGTTTCTTTGTTTTAGAGAATAGCCACGGTGGGCTATCCGTTGTGTCTACCGCAGGAAATCGAACTCCGGATTTTAGCGTTGTAAGTCCGTAAACTTACCGCTGGCTCCGCGGGGAACTTGGAGGGTTATGCAACATATCTAGTTGGTGTCCAGTTTGAAATTCATAAAGTTTTTCATTGGTATATGGTATTTTTGACGAAATAAATGTTGCTTAAGACTAGAAAAATCTTTATACAATGCAGCATAATTGCTATTTACAATTACTCTACGCGTATACGTTTTCTTTCAACATAACTTGCATTACACAAAGAACGTTTAATATTTTCATAACTGGTGAGGTTAATTTTGTCATTTAAGAATGTACTTTTAAGAAGCTATTTCCTTATCTTTATTCTTTTAAACTGCAGAATGTTAATTATGAAGCCCAGAAGAAGGACAGGCGTTTATCTACAGCACATTTAGCCACTGTTAAAGTGTCGTCGTGTGTTCTGTAAGTAACACACGAACTTCGTCTGACTGATTCCACTTCCTTTTTTCGGTACGATTGCTATAACGAACACCGACTAAAGTGTCCAAATCCAACACTGTTGCCTAGACTAAAACTAACAAGAACTATTGTTTTTCTTTTCAGGAAGAAAATGTTACTAATCCACAGTGTGTTTACTGGGAATTTAATACAAGGTAGGCTGCTTGTTGATATCAAAATGCATCGTAGGTTTACACTTGATAATACGTCTATACGTAGATAAGTCTGCACATGGTGCCGCAACACTCAGCACCTAAAGACAAATGTGTTTGCAGATGATATGTTTACACGTAGATAAGTATGCACATGGTTCACTTACACTCAGATGTATCTTCAAATATATATATTTGTATATAGGTACGCATACATAATATGCGTTTACATAGGTTACGTCTGCACATGATGAACTTACTTATGAGATACGTCTGCATAAGGTGCATTTGCGTAAAGTGTTTATACCCATACATGCGTCTACGTTCAGATACGTCTAAAATTGTGCGTCTACACACAAATATATCTAAATGTAATGAATCCACACGGAGTATATCTACACAAAGATATGTCTAAACATAGTGCATCTACATGGGGTATGCCTATACATAGATATGTCTAAACATGATACTTCTACACGGGATAATACATCAAGTCCTAATGTCAAACTTACAATCGATAGTTCTTTGTACACAATATTGTTGAATAATCCACACAGCCCTTCATTTTAATTCGTTTGTTCATATTTTATTTATAACTCAAGATATATTTAACAAGCAGTTTTTTTTTGTTATTGTTGTTTGTTAAATAAATTTTATGAGAAACCATCAGTGATTCCTATGTTAGCGATATGGTCTGAAAAGCACAGCTTAAGTACTGGAATTTCAACGAAAACTAAGACAGCTTAATAACTTAATGATTAAGAAACACATTAAAGCATATTCCACATATTTGGTGTATATAAAAAAAACGGACGTCCATGTCAGATAATTCATCAACTATAAGCGGCAAGATTAAAAAAGACAGGAAGAATCGGTCAACTTGTCTCTTCCACAAAGATGTGTGAAGCTTGAACTATAAGAACTTAAGTTTAGCTTTCATTACATCCCGAGAATATAGAGATTATTAATGGTGATTAAAGTAAAACTTTGATCTTCAACATGAAGTCTAATGGACTTTCAGTTGCAGTTTACAGCGTTCTGTAATATGCCTAAGCTTATACTATTCTCATTCGTGTGAAAACTTTCTCACATATTTTTTTCTCTGTGTGTACAGAATAAAATTGTTACTCTTGAGATGTCTAAGATCAATATTTAAAGTGTCGTGTATTTGATTTGATTCCCAGGCGCTGGTCTTCTGATGGTTGCTGGATAACACAGACAAACAAGTCTCACACTGGGTGCTCCTGTAATCATCTAACAAATTTTGCTTTAGTTATGGATGTTTCTCCAGCAGAGGTACCATCTATATCTATCTTTTTACCAATTCTTCGAGCTGATTAGAAAACAAATAAATATACTGAAAGAAAAATCCCAAACCGGGATAAAACTTTGGGGTTAAATTAAACTGTGACAAGTGCTTTATGAAGTAAACTAAAAGTTTTTTTTCTTTCGACTGGCTTTTTCAGGTATTTTCAAGATACGGTGGTACAAGTTGTGGACATTAGACAAAACAATAGTCATCTTTGTTTGCCTTTTAATGAAATCAGCCTTTAAAACAAAAACTTAAGCTAGCTTATTTTCCTTATTTTCACTTATTCACAGGTTTACATTAATTACAGGTGAACGTGGATGATATACCGTATATTCAGATCGTGACGATTATAGGCTGTGGAGTAGCTATATTTTTCCTGTTGGTTACTTTTGTGACCTTACACTTAGTTAGGTAAGTTATTGATTTATCCTTAACATATAAAATAGAATAGAACAGCCTGTCAAGAGTAACTAAAGTGAATAGAACAGCCTCAAGAGTAACTAAAGTGAACAGAACAGCCTATCAAGAGTAACTAAAGTGATTAGAACAGCCTATCAAGAGTAACTAAAGTGAATAAAACAGCCTATCAAGAGTAACTAAAGAAAATAGAACAGCTTATCAAAAGTAACGAAAGTAAATAGAACAGCCTATCAAAAGAAACTAAAGTGAAAAAAATGTTCAGATATTTTAGTGTTTCTGATGCTATTTACTCAATTTTACACCGAGAAAACTAAAGTGATATAAAAAATGATAAATACGTAGCAGTACACCTTCTTCCCCTCCCCCCATCATTTGATATCAACACTTCCTGTGTTCTTCAAATAATAAAGTAAGATCTCGTCGTTTTTTTCATTTCTTCTCCACTGAGAAAAAAATTATAGTTAGTTAAAAATGTCGTTACTAACCCTTTTCTTACCGAGAGTTTTTTTTTAAACTAACAAAATTACTAAAAATACATGTAAAAATCAATCTATCATTATATTTATCATTGTACTGAGTAATACCGGTTTCGGGGAACTGTACTCCTTCTCTTCAGTAACCTTCGATAAAGACACATCAGAAGAATAACATTAAACTTCATACAGTGGTGGAGTTTAGATAATAAAATCCCTATAAACGAAAGCTGATGCTGAACAACTAAATTTGGAGTAAGATTAAGATTTTTCTAACGTGTTTTCACCAGGCTAGTAATATTTTCGAAAGTTTATTCTAATAGTTGTTAGGCTTATTTTGGTTTTATCAATTATTGTTTTACATTGGTGGTTCTCTTATGATACTACTACCACCATCTAAAGTGGCATATGCTGAAAAAAGTTTAGAGTAAAATGGTTAAGGACGTATAATAATAATCCATGTTTACTATTGTTTATTTCTTAGTTTTGTCCATCCATTTTAATACTTATTGTATAATTATATCAGTTACCACTAGGGTAATTTGCTTACAGATGCAGCATGAAAAATAGGTATTAACAAATTTAAAATATACTTAAGTTAACCTCTCTTAATTCTTCATAATGGGATAACTTTTAAAAAGGAAATCAAGACTTATGTTCGCTTTTCATCTGTTAGTTTATATTTTGTAAGATAAGATAAAGGGAAATAATTATTGTAGAAATCTATCTTAAACATTTTTTTTTCAAGTAAACTTTATAAATTTATTTGGTTTTGATGGAACAAAGCTACACAATGGACTATCTGTGCTCTGCCCACAACGGGTATCGAAACCCAACTTTTTAGCGTTGTAAGCACGCAGATATTTCACTGAGATACTGGTGGACCTCTTTAAACATACTCTAAATTCTAGGCATGGTTTAAATATCAGGATTTTAATTTACGTTTAAAAGTTTTGTCAGTTTGTGTGGTTATTTAGAAAAAAAAAAAAAATGTGTGTAAGTTCCTCAGCAAATTTCAGTGGGTTATACATGTTTATTGTTTTCTTGTTTCCAGAGGTTTAAAAGATGACCTATACTGTTTTCTTATTTCTAGAAGTTTAAAATATGACCTATATTGTTTTCTTATTTTCAGAGGTCTAAAAGATGATCGCCACGTAATCCACAAGAACATGTGCTTCTGTTTAATAGTCTCGGAAGTGACCTTTGTGGGAGGAATTGACTACGTAATGAGTAGAATCATCTGTGGTGTGGTGGCAGGATTATTACACTATTTCTTTTTGGCTTCCTTCATCTGGATGTTTCTGGAAACCTTTCAACTGCTCCTAATGGCCTTAGAGAGGAAGGATTGTAGTGATTCCGCTAGACGTCGCTGGAGATGGTACTGTTTTTCAGGCTACAGTGTACCGATTATAGCCGTGAGTGTTTGTGCTATAGTTGATCCTGAAAGCTACGGAACTAAGTCTTACTGCTGGCTGGAAATAGACAACTATTTTATATTTGGATTTGTGGGACCTGCTCTTGCCTGCATTTTGGTAAGTTTAATAAACCCTATTGTTGGATAAACTCAAACTAGGGACTCTTTAAGTCAATTCGATAAAATGTTTTCTCACAAATTAGAGAACATAAATTTTTCAGATGTGTCTATTCTCTTTTGTGATTAACAAAACCGAGATTTCAAATGTATATATTTTTTCAATTAGTTTTTCATTTCATTACTAAAAAATAAAAAGCGTTATATATTTCTAAAAAAATAATTAACAAACCAAGCGTAATCTTTGTTTGAAGGTAAGCAAAACGCTACACAATGGGCCATCTGTGCTCTGCCCACCACGGGTATCGAAACCCGGTTTCTAACGTTGTAATTCCACAGTCATACCGCTGTGCCATTGGGGGCTAAATGTAATGGTGTAACGGAAAAAAGTCTGTTGTATTATAATTATTTTATGCCTTGTTTACAGCTACATAATAGTGCTAGTTCTCATATCTTTATAAGCCAAGCTGGTAATAACAAAAACAAAATAATTTTTACGCTGTAGTTAATAGTTTATTATAATCCTGTTAGCAGTTTCAAATGCTCTTTAAATTTCTTCTAATTATTATGTGAGCTGTAAAGTTTGGGTTATACTGAAGGTTAATAGCATTTTATAAGAACGATGTTTCCAGACCTTGGACTGACTTTGGAACAACATCCTCCATCTTCTTTTAGTGAAGGTTTGGGTATTGCTTTGAGTGTTTTAGGAATCTTCAACGGACGAGATACAACCTGACATTTTCTTTTCTTTTGATGACGTTTCGGTATCTTTGCTGATGTTTAAGTTTGTCAAAAGAAAAAAAACACATATCAGGTAGTTTCCTGACCACAGAAGATTACTAAGATACTCACTCCGTCATTGTTCGCGGTCATTCTGATAACATGATTATGCACTATTACCCAATCTGATAACATGATTATGCACTATTACCCAATCTGATAACATGATTTTGCACTATTATCCAACACTTCAATTTTTATTCTGTGAAAGACGGCGAGATCTGTCTTAGACCAAACATATTAAACAATTTTCCATCGATACTCCAGTTTGCGCGGATTTAAGCTTCCAGGATTTGTTTAAGTAAAAGTAAAGCGCACAAAAGTCCATAGGAACTGCGTCTGGAGATTTAACAGGTATATGATCAAATGGGAATGCTGTGATTTGAGTTTACTGAGCCATGCTTCTCGTGAAAACGCCTTTTTTTTAGGTGTTGCTAGAAGCTTGTGAACATTTGCTTTGTGCGGTTTTTGGAACTTCAAACCCTGTTTAATATTTTGTAAACAGCATACAGCTTCACTGGAACAGCCTTTAGGGTCGAAAGGCTCTCTTCTGTAAATATAGATTTCATTTTAGGAGTCAAAATGCTCCGGATTGGCTTGAAATGGGGTTTCTGAGCCCATAACTGTCTTAAATATAGTGTTGTGCCAACCTTTTCACTTCCATGACATCCTTATTTTAAATATTAGGTCTTTCATCCATATATATTTGAACAATTTCACTATTCGAGTATCCATCTTCGAAAAGTGTTCAGATATAATTCTCCAGCCATAAGTCACTGTGTCGTCGAATGGTATTAAACGTATCATTCGTGATGCATAAGCAAATACTGTGGACATAAAGTGCGTTTTTTTCTATAGCTTTTCTTAAAAACAACGAACTGCTCTAAAGTTCATAACAATATTTGTATTCACTCTAGACATATTGGTTCTCATCAATATCAGTATTTTATTTTTAGAGATATATTTTTAATATATGTAGTATATAGTATTTTTTTCAGACGTTTGCTCGTTAAAATGTAATTTCTTTCTAATTTTTAGGACAGCGTGTGTGACGAAATGTTGTAAAAAGCTGAAATTACTGCTAACCAAGCTTTTAACTGTAATTTATATTTTCATGATATTCTGAACAATAAGATTTAATCTATTTATCTAATGTTTAATCATATTTCTTAGCCTAAATAAGATCTTGCTTCGCCAGTTTCACTTTATATGCCATGACTCTATTTCTGTTTTCTTTATTTCAGATGTCTATTATATTTCTGTGTATTGTAAGCGCAAAAATCTTTCGAAAAATCGAGAGTTCCATCTCCTGTAAGAGCAAAGAACAATCGAAGTTAACCAACTTAAGGTAAGCGAAAATTGTTTTTTTTTTTTGTTTTTTTGCAAGTTAACATAACACAAAATTCAACAGAAACAACAGCTGCTCTAGAAACTACTGTCACATGATTAGATATGAATTATTTAAATATATATATATATATAATATATATAAAACAAGCTCTAATAAAACGGTACATAAACAAAATAAAGTAACCAGAGCACAGGCCATAATGTGATAAAAGAATAAGATGTGTCCTCATCTCTGGAGGTGACTGCGTAAGTAGGACCCCCAAAGCAGTGGGTATACACAGTCTATCAGCCTTAATCTCGGTCACAGAGCTTCAAATGTAAAGAAGAACAGAGTAAATAATGAAATAAGATAAAAGAGAGAGATAGGAATACTCAAGCCCACAACGTTCCACATCTATATTACCCTTCACTGCGTGTAGACAGTTATGGGAAGGTGACAACTATAAGAAGAAATGAGAATGGTGAGAAAGAAATAAGGTTATTTCATTAGGAGTGGTGAGTAAGAAACCTTTACCTCCTGACATTTGCATTCCAGCCTCCCCTTATTATAGTAAAAGCTATTAATTCATTCAACAATGACATTTAAAGAGGGGATCTTAGAATCAGTCTTACATTGATTTTATTAGTCTTGGAAAAATAATTTAATCTCAACGACAACAGCATGTAATCGAACGTTATGTAAATAATTACAAATACAAATATCATATAATTTTGTTATTTTCTCCATGGAAATATTCTAACACGTGTACACAAGCTTACAATTTTATTTTTAACCTCAGTGTTGGACTTTGTTGAAATTGAATTCATGACGGTTGTAATATTTATGCACCAAGGTAAGTGGTTTTTAATTAATCTTGCCAATATGTTTATTAATTAATTAAGGTCACATCTTTTGGTTTACTACGTGCAACTGTTGGTAGATTTTGTATAGATCACATCGTCAGGTTTATTATGTGGAAATGAGATTAGGTTTAGGTATAGTGTCACTCCCCCTGCACCATGTGATGGTTAGCTAGTCCTTTGTGATCTTATAAAAATTTTATAAGAATAATAAAAAGGCCAAATTAACACATAAAAGTTCTGAATATAGTCATTAATCATACCCTGCTGCCAAGTTGTAACTCACCACAATTCGTTGTAATACAGCGCTAGAGGTTTTCATGACTTTTATCAAGGTGGCGAAATATCAAAAATACAACAAGTTTTCAAACATTTTATCTTTTATTGAAATTTGCTAATTTTGTCCACTTGGTACAATATTGGTTCTTTTGACTTTACTCTTTGCTGGATGTAGGAATGATGTATATACAAACCTCGTTTTGACATTGGACTAAAATTTATCTTACTTTTCTTATTTTTAAAGCTTCAAATGTACTTTACTTAATTATCTTTTTTTATTATCAAGGTTTGAGTATGTCTTACATATATGCATTTTGGTTCGAAGTTCGACTGTTATTTATTTGTTTGTTTGTAATTTGGCACAAAGCTACACAATGTACGCTGCCAACCACGGGTATCGAAACCCGGTTTCTAGCGTTGTAAGTCCACACACATACGACTGTGCCAGTGGGGGGGGGGGGCTGGAGTGTTCTTTAAATTCTATCTTGTTTCAGAGATCAAATTACTTTGCGTTTGCTTCTTATTTCAAAATTTGAGTTTACATCTTATATTGGCTTAAGATTCATTATAGCTTATATATTTGTCTGGCTTCAAAGTTCGAGTGTACTTTAAATGTTTACCAGATATTAATATTCAAATGCATTTTCAATGCTTATCTGACCTAAAGTTTTGAGTTTACTTTAAAAGTTTATCTGGCTGAAGGTCCAAATGAAATTTACATATTTGTATTTTTTTTAACTAGACTTTAAGTTCTTTCATATTTCTTCGTACCAATTTTGTAAAATAAAAGCAATTAAAATAGGGAGATGCAACTCATACAAAAGCATGACGTTAATTTCCATCATATGGATGATTAAGGTGTAATACTTAAGAGTTAATTGAATTTTTTATTTTTCTTTCCCGCGTTTTGCTGCGCTTGACAACTCATACATATGAAGACCCACTTACACTTTCTACCGGCTAAGTTGGGAAGTTTATTTGTTGGATGTGATGGCAACATTAACCTTATAAGAAATGCCGTTGCTGATGCGATCAATTTCAAAAGCATAAGAATGATGGGATACAAACTGTCAATCGTAAATACTTCTGTGTCCATTGATTAAATAAGTGCATCGAGCACAGTTTCAAGTCCTCTTTTCTTTTCCTCTACAGCTGTTTCCACTTATATTGACGTAGATACATCTCGTGCCTTAATAACTGTAATGATAATTAAAATATCCAAAAAGAAGGAGTTTTTTTATTATCAATTAGATAGGAGATGTGTACCAGGTAATAACTGAAAGAGATGTTTTATCTAGATGAGAAAGGATTTGAGAGTACCATACTCTCATTGTGAACTATAAATCATTTTAGTTGTCTTGATAACACCAGCTTCGGATTAACATTCCACCATTTATAATATTATAGTTTGTTACTCTTGAGAGTTCAGAATTACTAGGTTGCACTGAGATTTGTTGTATCTTAATTTCTCTCTCTCTCTCTCTGTTCATTATATATATGTGTGTTTGTGTGCAAGCTTAAATATATGTATATTCAAGATGAAATGAAAAAGCAGAAAAAAAAAGGAGGGAGAACATTAATACACTAAAATCGAAAGACAGAATCTTTAAACTGTGTAATTTTATACACTTATAAACAAGATGGGAGTTTTTTCGGGGGGGGCAGCTATATGGCGTTTTGGTATCTTATCTTTTTTAAGTATGATATTACTCAGAATTGCTATGCAGTAAACTTAAATTGCTTTTCAAAAAATTATCTGAATGTTAAAATATCCGAGAATGTTTAATGCATGTTTTACGAACTGCTTTCTATCCCACTTTTTTTTTTCTGCGCTTTCAGTAATTTTGCGAGAAACTCGATACAATATTCTATATTCCCGGTATTCTTAATATATGTGTGTGTGTGTGTATATATGTAAAGAATATTTGCAATTTTTGAATATCTAAGTAGATTTTTCGAAGAATTTACACACCGTTCTTCACAATCATATCTTTGTGTCTTTTCAGGCCAACTGCCCATGGAAAGCTTTAGATTTTTGCTGTACTACTTTTCAATAAATGAAACTGGAAAAATATATGAGCTGGATAAGGCAAACTGAATAACCCGCTGTGATGAAATTGAGCGTCGTTTATCAATCGTTTCATATATACTTTCTCAAAAACGATTATGAACAAAAAATAAAACAAGCTAATTTAAAATTCCTTACTTACCCAAAAGTTTACAATAATGTACAAAATAAAGACAATCGCTCAATGTGAATTTTGAATGAACGTTTTATCATATTTATCTTGTTTGTTTGTTTTTTTGTAAGGCAACTCATTTAGATGAAGTTACTTAATCACTTAAATCAAAATGGAATATAACTTTTTTTAGGCTTAAAATAATTATTCTGATAAATCCTTACATTTTTAATGAAACATATCGTAGCTTAAACACGTATGTGAAATTTAACGTTGATTTTTATGGTTGAAATAATGCTTTTGATAAAATGTTTCGTACTGAAGCGAGGTTTGTATTAGCCTGGGATTCTTACTTAGTATCTCTCATTTCTCAAATATGAAAAAAACTAAAAAGTAATATTGTAAATGTTCTATCGAACTTTCACATTCAGGCATTAATAGTGGGACAAAAGCTATATGATTAATTATTAATTTCATGTTTAAAATCTAAGCTCTGATCTAGTACTGAGATAATCATACATCAAAAACAATAACCGAATACGATGAAGAGGAACCCACTTTGAAACTAATAATGGCTGGAGACGGCTTGAGTGGGTAATGAAGAAAAACTTTAATATAAGTTAAACATAACAGCAAATGTACAACGTTTCGACAAGGTTTTGTCATCAGGTACATTTGCTGTTATGTTAAACTTATATTAAAGTTTTTCTTCGTTACCCATTCAAGCCATCTCCAGCCATTAATAATCGAATACTTAGTATTTG